AGTTCAAACTTATCACAATATTTTACTTATGCTTCCTTGATATTGATAAAAAAAATAATTGGACGTTGTATGCCATATTCGATAATAATGGTTTATAAATAAGCCATAATACACTCCGGGTGTATGTATTATATAATCTTTAAAGTCATAAAAATTCACATTTCCATTCTCACGATCGAAGTGGATCGTTATTCGCAAAACATGGACCAACGGATAAAATTTTATGAACAAAAAGCGAAATAATATTTTATTATAACGCGCAATCAATTTTTTTCAATAAACCAAACTGTATCGATGCTTGCTAAAATTAATAATACTTTCAAAATAAATATTTTATCTTTTCGCGCACACATTTTACTCGTCGTATAATTTTGCACATATCGTCGTAACCGTGATAAAAATAAATCCCACAGATTAAAGAGAAAGAAAAGAAGAAAGACACAAATGACGAGGGAAAAAGACGTAAAAAAGAAATACAGGTAGAATTATCCAGTGTCAAGTGTGGCATTACATAATTATATATATATACAGAGTGTCCCAGTTATCTTCCGTCATATTTCAAAGACAGATTTCTGGGATCATTTGAAGACGATTTTTCCTCAGCGAAAATGTCAATGAAGGCCATAATTTTTTGCATGTTCCCGATTTTTGTCATCATATATCTTTGCAATTAAGTCTTAAATTAAAACTTAACTAAAGTAAACTCTATTTAAAATTAATCGAAGAATGTGGTTTTGTTAATATTTTATTTCTACAAAGCTTAGGTTACGCAACCTTATTTCCAAGCTTACGAACCTTATTTCCAATCACTTATAATTCGAAAATTATTAGTGCCTCGACATTTTCGTTGAGGAAAAATCGTCTTCAGATGATCCCAGGAATCTGTCTTTGAAAGATTGACAGAAGATAACTGGGACACCCTGTATATATATATATATATATATATATATATATATATTATATATATATATATATATATATATAGCATTATACAATTATGCGACTCTCCTAAAGGCTCCTCATAATGTGATTGTCTGCTATGGACGCTTGAATTTAATTATTACAATTATTTGTGATTATTGATTTTGTTTTGGGTCTATTCGTGCTCTTGACAGTTGGTTATACATCGCTGATACATCCCCCTCGCAATAGCACACAATTCTGATTTGAAATAATTACAGAGCAATATACATCAGCTGACATGCTATACCAGTTGTTCATTAAAATAAATTGGACACAATACAATTAAAATGAAATTAAAGAGAGAGATCGATATAAAAACAAAATGTCACGATATATAAATTTGCGCAACCTCGCACAAGTACTCTCTTTAAATATTAAAAAAACAATTTTGATAAAATTTTCCATGTAAACCCGCCGAAACGTATTCTAAGCTAATTCTCCCGTATCACGAATAAATATGAAGATAATTTGCTCGATCGCATCGAAATTATATTAATTTCAATGAGTATTTACACGATTTTATACCATCGGTCATTTGCGTAATAACAGCTGATAAAACAGTACGATCTCAGTTCTATAGTCGATCATTTGCGCGATAATCGCTCTTACGACACAAAACGCAGGCGGATGTAAATGGCGAAGCGTCATACTTGAAACGATGAATTCAATCTCCAAATGAAATCTTATATCATACCTCATAATTTCTATCGATCGGCTTAATTGCAGCTATATTTGTAAGAGAGAGTATTATGCATATGGATTTCTTGCGCGTGCTTTCAATCTCTCTACGAGTAAAAATAAGAAAATAATACATCGTGACGTATAATTAAACATTTTCGAATGAGGCTCGAGAGAAAGAGAGCGAGAGAGAGAGCGAGAGAGAGAGAGAGAGAGAGAAAGAGAGAGAGAGAGAGAGAGAAAGGAAATAAAAATGATAAAGCCTTATCGATCCTCTATACGAAGTTAATTGGACGCAACACTCACATTGCTTAATAAAAGCGGGATATATATATATATATATTTATAACTCCAGCTTCCCTATAAATTCTGACCTATAAGGATATTAAAAATATAACGGCCGCGGTACACGCGAATAAAAAAAGATGTAAAGGTTAAGTCCACGCGCGTTGCTCGCTCTTGTTCCGTTCATGGTGCAACACACGTTATTGCCGGACTGTCGCCGGTATTAAATGCTCGGAATCTATCTAGCCAGTGATAACGCGCGTAAAAAAAGTGCAGCTCCGTTTTTTTATCGCAACGTAACGCGACGCAACGCAACGCGACGTAATGCGCGCTTCTAAAAGTCGGGCCACGGGATGTGCACGAGGTGAGTCGCGACGCGGATTAAGAGAGAGGATTGAATAGAGGATTAATTATCTCGCGCTCCGAGAGATAACAGACGATGATGCGAAACGAGAGAGAATCGACGTGCGACTTTAAATATAAATTCAAACGCGAATGTCGTATCGTAATCTTGCCTGTCAAGTTTTCGCGACTTTTCAATTCTCTCTCTCTCTCTCTTTTTTTTTTAATTGAATGTGTACATTTCTACATTTAAACGCTTCTTAAAACATTTTCGAAATTATTTCAAAGAATTGTCTGGTATGGATCAAGAACAATTTTTTAATCTATTTTAATCTATTTTAAATCCTGTATTTTATAAATGCAGATCCACATGCGAAATGACCGTATTGAAATCTTGCCTGTCGAATTGTAGTGATTTTTCAATTTATTTTTTCTCCTTTTCTCCGTCTAAATAAAATTCTACTAAAGGTTTTCAGAATAATTTCAAAGATTTGCCTGAAATATACACAAGGAAAAATGTATACTGTATTCAAGTAAATATTATTTTTAAATATATCATAAGTTCACCACAAGCATTAAATTTAATTGAATATATTCTGAATTTTAGTGAGTGCAGTTATCTTAGTCAATATCAGAATATTAAATTAAAACAAAAATTTGATTTGCTTACTACAAGAGTTGACGTAAAGTAAATTTGATATTTTTTTATACAACTTTACAATATTTTTGAAGAGAGAATAAATTCTTCTTTTAGTACATAATGAGATTTTATAATACTTGTGATGAGTATATTTTAAGACTATTATCAAAAATATAATTTTTGTTGGAGAAAACTATTACTTAAAAAAAGAAAAATAAATTGAGTAATCGCTTTTCTTGGCAGTAAAATGCATTTTTCTCTGTATAAATCAAGAACAATTTTGTAATCTACTTTAGATTTCTTATCTATATTTTATATATCTGCGTTAATTTATATTTTCTGTAAAATAGTCTTCCTTTTCTCATTCGAAATATATATACACATTGACATATTCATGTTATATATGTTATATGTGTATTAGTTTCGATACGCTTTGAAATTATTCAATTATTTTTACCGTATAATTGTTTTCGTACTGTGTTTATTAATTTTCGAAAGATAAATCCATCTTGTGGATTAATGACATTCGCACGATAGAATGCATAGATCTGACCAATTATTTCTACATCATTTGGCTTCGCAAAATATACATTGAAACATATACATGTACATAAACAAAAATATTTAACATACGTTATACTTGGCATGCATATTTATTTAAATATACATAATGTCAGGAAAACGTGACAGTATGTTTTTCAAAATCATCTTGTATATATGTTTTATTAAGTTTACACAAGTCCAAGAAGATCCATGAGGATCTCTGTGAAACAAAATAGGAGAGAGAGGGAAAGAGATGCAAAACATACGTGAATTACAGAATTATTGTTAAACAAATATTATTCCAGTTTCATAAATGCCATTTTCGTCTCTCTCTCTTTCTCTTTCTCTCGTTTAAATCTGAATATTTCAAAATTATAATTGTGTTGACCAAGCGCGCAACGCTTTTGTTTACACTATACATCACTCGTTAAAGGTCAGTTGTTTCACGGATGCTCGTGCGATTATCTCGAGAAGCGAGCACGATGTAATAATACGTCATAGTGAATGCATATCGATAGAGAGATTAAAAATCTCGTTACGTACAACGCAATTTTCCGTTGACCCTTCCATCGATTCTTGTCAAATAACAACTGAGGGAGATCCCTGTTATCGAGTATTCAATACGACTCAAGTACGATTTGAGGCATAAAATTCAAAAGTAATCATTTAAATAATATTCCACATAATAGAGTCACGTTTCAAAATAACATTCCTCTAGGGTCTTGGATCTGTTTTCTTCGCAAACATATTACAAAGCGTAAAATTACGCTATTCGTAATGACACGCGATCGCCAGAGTTATTTTACTACGATGACGTACACATACTTGTACAAATTTAAACTCGCGATAATCGCTAGAGAAAATTCGCGGGTGTCGGTGTCCGTTGACACGATAATACACACACACATACGACATATACATATATATTTCGTACATACATGACGGATCTTGTACTTACCCGCCACACCTATATCCCGGTGCTGTCGTCCTTCGCGGAAACGATGCTCCCGACTCGGGCCAAGGATACTCGCCAGGACGATCCGAGTGGCACGACAGGAAAGGAAAACGAGAGACGCGAAAGAAACACGCGGACTCGACGCGGATACGCGTTCGCTCGCGCGGTGCGTTTCGGATTACGATACGTGCATGCGTGCGTACGTGCGTGCGTGCGACACAAAAACAATGCGATCGCGCCGCTACCTCGACGCGTCCCGTCGAACTACGACACGACCGGCCGTGCGCGATCCCGAAGGAAAACTACTCGACACACATACGCGTACCTACGAGTGTACCCACACATATATCGCGGCACGCATGCGCCCTTCGAGGCGCACGCGTCCCCGGAAACACGAATGGTAGCGTCCCTTTGCGCGAAAATTCGCGCGAAAAAGAAGCGGAGAGTCGGAGCTGGTGTCTCGCGCAGGAAAACAACGCGCGCACGAGTCGTCACAGCCGCGACCTACAGAGGTCGCGTGGCCCGTCGGTATTTTCCGTCGACGCTCGTGTACGCTCGTCGCGAGATCGCACGAGATGCTATTGTCGAGATAGCGCAAAGTTTAGACACGAGTATGTACGAGGGTATTGCGTTGTTCGCGAAAAATTCGTGCCTTTATCGGGAAACATCACTATCGAAATGCGATAACACGAATGAATGATACAATCGATGACAGTTTTGTGAAACTAAAACACACGTTATTTCGTAGGAATGTATATGATAAAATTAAATGTGCATGAGAGTATACTTATTTCCGTGCAATATCACAGAATGTATTAAATTGTAAAATTAATAGCGAGCTTAATCACACGAGTTAAAAAGTAAAATTAAAATAATTGAAACAATTATCGGACGATTAGAAGTAAAATGGCGTCTTTTTATTACCTTTTGACATAATCCAGTTGATAATTATTGTATGAAAATTTCGGTCGCCTTTTTCTGCAAGGTAGACAATTTGATATGGTGCTGGTATCTGGCGATGGTTGGTGTAAACAACAGAGTGAACACTAGTGAAATTAATGGCGTTCGTGTTCGTGGACTGATGACATTCTATCTATACATTATCGACTGGTCTCTGCAAAGTGCTTGATTGATCAATCAAAATCTATCTCCTGATTCTTTGTTGCAATTTTTCGTGTCAATTACGCTTTACTTTTTCCCTTAAAAGCGACAAAATACACCTAAATATACATCCGTTTTATTTTAAGTGCAGAAGTTGCAGTTGAAACGGACTGGGGTTCAACTTGACATCTAGCGAAGTGACAAGCAAACTTGTTTTATTTCGATAACGACTCCTCTCGCTTTGTATTCCTATTAAAGTGATAGTTTTATCGTGCTGCGTGTTTTAACGCGCATTAATTATCTCGAAGAAGCGATTGACACAAAAGCGATAGCAGTATGGTCAGTCTTTAATGTGGACCGTTCATTGAGTCTGTGATTTTAATCCCTTTTTTAGTTCTTTAACTGCCTGCATGTGAGTAAATTTTGTGTTTTTTTCCTCGCTATTTTATCACATGGCTCATAACTTTTCTGTCACGTATGATAATGTTAATAATTCGAGCTCATTTCATCCTTTTAAGATTGAAAACCTTAAAAAGCAATATCTTTCTTTGCAAGGTCAAGCCAGAAAAAGTCTAAAAGAAAACTTCTTTGAATATTTAGACAAGTATATTCCATTTTAAAAATAGATTTTCATATGTTTCACAATAATATGTCATTTATGACACTTTCTTATGTTAAATAAAAATATTATTATAGATGATATTTTCTAAATTTTCGAAATATTTTCTTTTTGTTTACTAATGATTAACCTATACTATACTTTAATTATTACAAGATTAATTTTTAATTTTCAACTAATAGCCTAAATGTGTAGATGAACACTAACTGTTTAAAGTGTGTTATTATTTTTTTATTATTTTTTAGTCTTAATCTTTTATTGGATATTTTATATAAAGATGTTGGTTTTTTTTTTAAACGTGTCTCACAAAGCTTGATATGTGGTATATAGTTTTAAAATTTTAGATCAAAATATATTGCAGAAGATGTCTTGGCTCTTTGGCAAGAAAAAGCACAAGGATTCACCTCCCGAATCCAGGGAGGAGCAAGAGCAAGAGCAACAAACTTCTGCCAATTCAGGAGATGACTTTGTAGTTATCGAAAGAAGAAGAACATCGTTGCCACCTAATGTTGATGGTCCAAGTACACCTTATCCCAGTGGATTATATCCATTTATCGGTGGAACACCGATGTATCCTACAATGTCGGCTGATAATTTACCAAAGCTAAGTCAACAGGTGGATGCTCCGCATTATTTAAGTGGTGTACCATTTAAATTATGCAAACACTTGGAAAGTAATATGAATAATGACTTGGAAATAGATGACCTACGGATTAGCGAAATATTGTCCTTTATTGAAAGATTAGAAAATCAAAATTACGATTATGATTTTTCTCTTGAAACAGGAGTTATTACAGAAATGGCTAGTAGGACTGATGAGTAATTTGATCGCTCTATTTGTGTCTAATAAGAGTGTACATTCTATGAATTAAGGAATCAAACTTAAGTGTGTATTTTTTATTGTTAGTTATTTGAATATATAATAAAGTCATATTTTTAAAGTGATGATTGTGTCATATACTTGTTTTATAAATGTCAAGTTTGATTTTTTAATTCCACATAAATTACAAAACTGTTCCTATTTCTTTATATTAGAGCATATAAAAAAATATGATTTTTCAATAAAAAATTAGGAATATATTAAATATTTAATGAAATTATACATCTTTGAGAAGAAGATTGGTTTATTAAAATGAATATATTATTATGAAAAAAGTATCTTTTAATTTGACTTTGCTCAAAGAAATATAGTTTCATCTTTGATATTGCCATAATGTTTGCACATGTGATTAAAGCGCATATTTAATATTACATTTCTCATGACATATTGTGCAAATTAACAAAACTAGTTGTTTTTTATTCTTTCATACTATACAGCTTTAATAATTATTTAGTAAAATAATAATTATTTCCTTTAGATGTGTAAGATACAATATTGTCAAAAGCCATACTCAAATTTACTTTTATTATTGCATAACACTTATATAATCATTATATATGTTTAAATAATTTTAAATTGTAAAAATTAATAATAAATTGTTTTTATATTCTATAAATATGTTTTCGTCAAATCTTCTCTGTTGTAATAAGTATCTGAAGATAAGATTGTATCTTAAATATATAATCTAAATTGACTATTTTATGTAATTATATGCACAGACATAATATTAGTACAACTGTAACAAATATGCAGAATGGTAACCAAGTTTTAAGAAATCCCAGAACACTGAAAGAGATATAATAAATAATATTAATAAAATAGAGTTCTGTATATATGTAAATTTTCATATAAATTTTTATTCACACACACACATATATATATAAAATTTACCTTACATATTTCCCATGCAATAACATAAAAAAAGCAAGTTTCACCATATTCCAGCTGCTTGAATTATCATACGACATCAAGTTTAAAGCTGTTGCCACATGTGAATGACAATTATCGCAACATAAATTGTGCTGTAAAAATATTAATTCTATATTATAGTTATTCTACATAAGAGTTTTATATTTTGAATTAAATTATTTTACCATTCTAGTTTTATAAATTTCGCTAGCTTCTGCCACACCAGCGTCCCATCCTTGTATGCTTCCTTTGGCCTTGGTATAATCTAGTTGCCAATATTTGGTAGGTTTACCAAATGCCATATTGTCTTCAGAAACATGATACGGACCAGCAAAGTCTCTTATTACTCCTGTTGATGTTGCAATGCCCATGTGTCCAATAAATGGCAGGAAGTATCTTAAAAATTAAATATATTAAATTCATGTAATTTACAGAATGTGATCATTTATTCAAAGAAAAGTTCTAAAATTTCTCAAATTATTTTATGCCACTTTATGTATATAATTGTTGATATATATATAGTAAAAGATATAATGCACTTTGACAAATGTCAAATGCGCAAAAGGCAAGGTTATTATAACACGCGTAATTGAAATTGACTTACGTTAGCAATGGCAAAGGGGTCCAAACGATGCAAAAAGGGAATCTTTGCCTTTCCGGATAAATGCTAAGATCCATTTCGGGCGAATCATTTGATAGCTCCGGAATATCTGTCAATAGATCGGGATCTCTCATCGTTTGTACATACAACATACAATATGCAGCGCTACCGTCACATGGTAAGGAAACATGTATGACATATATATTGTAAGTTGCAAGTAGTATATGCCAGTATATAGTTTGATAATGTGAATTTTTAAATTTTACAATTTTGTATGTGCTATTAATAACATTTTGGGAGTAATCACATTTCCAATCATTAATTTTAACTTCTTACACGTATATGTCTGTACATATTTTTTTCATTTATTACATGTTCTTTATATAAACAGTGGGCGAATATATGTAAAATTTATTTTTTATTTTATATTATTTTATATTAAGTTTAATTAATTCTTTTATATTTAATTTAATGTGATTTTATATTCTAAAAATTATTGAGAAAAAATATTACCTGCAAGTAAGTATATTGGAAATATAGAAAAGAATCATTTAATATAAAAAAAGAAATTCCGACTCTGATTTTTTTTTAAACTTTTATATTTTATATATTTTGAAATATCAAAAATCAAATGACTATGATTGATGTGATACATATATGTATATACCGAACGAAAAAGCAAACCAGAATGTATCGTTCGATTAATTGATTAAAATACTTATATATATCGAACGAAAAGATGAATCGGAATGCAATCGTTCGATTAATTAATTAAATATTTATATACATCGAATAAAAAAGCAAGTCGGAATGCAATCAGTCGAATAGTGAATTATAAATATTTATATATACCAAACGAAAAGATGAATCGGAATGCATTCGTTCGATTAATTCGTAAAATATTTATGTATATAAATATTTATATATAAAGATCTTTTCGTTCGATATATATAAGTATTTAATCAATTAATCGAACGATTACTTTCTGGTTCGCTTTTTCGTTCGGTATAATCTAAATCTATCAGGACCTATCTACACCTATCTTCTTAATTTGAGCCAATCTACTTCTTTATTTCGTTAAGGTCGAAAATTGACGGGCACCCTACTATACAGACAAATATATGTATATGTAAAAATATATAAAAAATAACGTAAAAAAAAGAATTGTAAAGAAATTCAAGAAAAAAACATTGTTATATTTACCTAATATTACCTAATATTTGTCTAAATAAATTTATGATACGAGAGAAGCACATGAAGAAAGAAAGAAAAGAATTATTATTTTTATTATTGATTCGTATATAATTATGTATTCAATTGTTAGATAATTTTAAAAATAGAATACCGAAGAGAGAGATGAGCTTTTTTGAGAATAGTCAGAAAGATATGATTGAAGATGTAAAAATAAATAATTACATAACATAACATGACTTTACATGCTACAATTTCGTTACGATGTTATCCGTTGAACTTTACTAAATCCTACCTGTAAACTGTACAATATGATCCTCATGCGATCGAGGGATGCCATAAGAATGCTTTATTCGATATTAGCAAGAGCGTAACACCCTTGTCGCGCTAACGAAATTATACGCAACCACGTCAGGTTTCTTACGCAGAAAACGCAGAAGGTTGCTTTCCTCTCTTCCAATATGTATCGTTTGAAATATGGTAAGAAATACAATAGTCAAATATTGTAATAAATATTGCCATAAATATTTAGTTATTATATTTTAGTTTAATATGAAAATTGATGAAGTTTTTCGATTTACATAATTCTTTAAGAATCACTTAATATTCTCCCTTAGAGAGGATTGGATATTAATTTTTATAAAAAAATTTTATATTTTCATTCACACTTTTTTACTCCCTATCCATCAATTTTATATTTATCGTAATTCCTTTTCGAAAATTGAGTCTTCCGTAAGAACTTTCGCGACTCAATCAGTGATACTTTGAATATTTTTTTTTCTATCGCATAAACTTAGTGATCGTCGTGACGTTTTGGTGGATCTTCGCGACTGGAAACATCGTCCGGAATGAAGATATTTGTGGATCCCACAATGGCAGACGTCTATACTTGGAGTTGGGTGAGAAAGGCATCCTTTATGCGAAAAACATCAGCTTTATCAGGAACTTGCCGAGGCAGCTGGTGCCGCATCTTTATTCCAGCACCATCAACAACAGTTCCCATCATCAATGCAGTCTTGAACTGGTGACCTGTCCATCTTGTGTAATTGTTGTTACTTTTAAAAACATCGCCTTGTCGCATCATTGCGGCGACGGAGGCATCGTGATGGACAATCCCTGCAGGTGAGATGGATACATGAGACAAAGCGTTTGTTTTGTAAGGATTGAATTCCTTTGGATTAATTTTTAAGCGTAAAGCTCTGAAGAGACAGAATATATGATACAAATGTACAACATATTCATATTAAAGTGATATTATTATTATTATTATTATTATTATATATTATAGTTCATATAATTTAGCTATAAGTGTTCAATTGGTCGAGTTGTCATATATATTAAATTCAGTATTGTAATTAATGATCGTAATATTACAATTAATATTAAATAAAATAATTAGAAAGCTCTTGCGAGTATTAATATTATTTAATTTAGCTTTAATTTATTTAATTCATTAAGCTTTAATTCAATTCTTCAGTTATGAAATGAAATTCTATCATAGCTTGCATATCTCGTCGTATAGCTTACAAATCACGTTATATACATTACATTACACTAATGAGCTTTGAAACTAGATATGTACGCTTTTGTAGGTGCGACTACGTGTGGCTCTCAGAACCACCTTATGAGGATGTTTCCGGTTCGCCGTTTTGTGGATCATATACACCGATCACATATAGATCGAGCACGAGAACCCTGTCTATAAATCTATTTTATAGCCAGTCGCATAAGCACGCATTCACTATTGAATACACGGCAGAAAGTTAGTAGAGATAGTCAATAATATTTCCTACTAATAATATTGTTATTATTATAAGTATCTACAAATATAGTTATTATAGGTATCTACGAATATAAGATCTAAACTATAACTAATAAAATTTAAAAATATAATTTAATAGCCGAGTATTTAAATAAAATATTTTGAGATAACTAAAATAATTTGTTGAGAGATTTAAAACTGGATCAGAGTTAAAATTTTTTATTTTATTTGTTATTCTAAAAAATTTTAATTCTGTTTGCACATTTTTCATAGAGCGCGATTTTTTTGATATATTGTGCAGTTCTATTCATTTGCTATCTATGGAGTGGCATAAATAATTTTTTTTAAATCGAATGTTATATATATCGCGATTCATAAAGTATTCTGGTAATTGATGCTTTTGCTGCGCAGGAAACAGGCTGCATTTGAAAGGCACGGAAATGACATCGGGAGTGCCGACAAAGGATTTGAATGGTACCACCGGTAGTGGCATTTTGACCTCGCCGTTTTTCCCAGCTCGATATCCCCGTGATTTGGGTCTGGAATACGTGATAACGTGTCCCACCGAAGCTCCCTCCTGTCGCATCAGATTGCTATTTAGCGATTTCCAATTAGCGACGGTTTCTATCATGGAGGTACATTTTTAACTGTTTTTTTATAATATTAAGCTCTTTAAAATTTGCTTACAGTAATATCAAATATTTTATTTTTATTTCCACTATATATTTTTAACGTTACAATTACTTGTATTATTCGTAATATTTTTTTAAAATTAATTTCATCAAATAATTGTAAGTCCAGATATCTTCTAAATATTTTTTGTATCGTTTGAGTCATTTCTTGATCAAGGATGTGTTCGATTTCGTAAAAGATTTTTAGTAACTGTTAAATTATGACAAATTATAAAGACGCAGAATTTTTACGTTTAATTAATTTTTAAAAAATTTGGAATATCGTGACATTTGCTTGTTTGCTCGATTAGTTTTACGATTGGAATGGACAACGCTTGGATGTGAGTAGTGGTGCGCGATTTCGGCCTCCGATTATAGTGAGTTCCGGCCCATCGTTACTCGTAAGATTTTATGCGAATGGTGGCACTGGTCTAGGTTACAAGGCTTTTTATTCCTTCGTAATCGGTCACACATACGACAAATCCATACAACCGATCACCAACTGCGGTGGATACGTGGAGAATCTGGGCGGTGCTATTACAATGATGAACATGGTCGGTCAAGGAGTAAAAATTTATGATTGCGTCTGGCTAATCAGGCCACCCAAGAACTTTCTGCACATGAAGACGCACATGTATTTGAAAGTAGTGGCTTTCGCCGACATGGGTACGTATGCAAAAGAGGACAAAAGATTTATTACCAAGCAAGCTTGAATAAAGTTGAATTAAAATTTCAATGTCCTATAGAAAAACAGGTAAAATATAAATAATTTGTAAAAATAATAAAAATCAGATGTTGAAAATTTATTACATTCTTTCTTATCTCTCTTGGTCGATTTTAAGCTGATATTGTAACAGTACAATTATACGAAAGAGATGGAACAAATATAAAGATTTTAAACACCAATTGTGAAAAATAAGCGTAATCGATTTTTCGATAAAGCTGTTGTTCCTCAGCCGGCAATACGGAATTAATAATCAAAGAGGGTCCAACCTCGGCCTTGATGTCATTGGAAGTAATCCGACATCCATCGAATCAGTTACAGTCGCTCAGACATCAAGAACATATAGCGCCGGTCACCAGCGGATTCCACGTGAGTCTTCGTGGTACATTCGGTCCAAATTCACATTTGGCGATTGCTTATGCGGCCTTTAGCTACACGGGTAAGTCTGAACGATGATAGCAGAATAATCGCTTTATTTCGATTGAATGTAGTATTAAATCTGTTCCATCTCTGAATCGAACATTGCAGATTGCTTTGCGGACACCGATTTTCTGTGCCAGAATCACAGATGCATCCCGAATCAGTTGAATTGCGACAGTTTTGATCACTGTGGTGATAATAGTGATGAGCCAGCGACGTGTTTCCAAAGTGAGTATCTATAATTTGAAGAAATATTTGAAAAAATAATCTACAGATTTGATTTGAAAAAAGCTTTTAGGAGCTACATATAGTGTTGAATATAATGTTATTTTTTATGCAAAAAAGTTATATTTTAAAAAATCTGATATTCTAATCTAAAATTATAATAATTAGAGATAAAAACATTACAGATAAAAATGTTTTCTTATGTAATTACTTAAAATAAATAAATATTATTTAGAGAAAATTTTTATCTTGAATTTTTATATATAATTTATACATTTTATTTAAAGATATCCCTCATTTATATCTTATATAATTAGAAGCAACTCTTTTAAAACAAGGAAAATAACTTCTCTCCTTATTCATATTTATAAACATAAATTATAATAATAGTCAGGTCATTGAAGAATCATAGACTAATAAAAAAACTAATATCATATTATTTTGAAAGATACAGTATATGAAAAACAGAACAAAATAAAAAATGTGTTATTTTGCTAAAATCTAAAATGTACTAGTTATATCGATAAAATATTTGAAATTTGTACAGTTATTTTATGAATTGATTTCGAATAAAATATGCGTACAGATTGGAAGATGGAGCCGCGCGAGCGGAAATGGCACATGAACAAAGCAAATTATTATTTTCCGAAGATCGAACAATATCCTGATTTGAAAACGGCCACCCTGGTATTTGTTGCCAGCAGTCTCGGTCTGATTGTTTTGATAACGACCCTCATTATACTGCTGTACAGAATAGGAGGGGCGAGACAAAGAGAACTGCAATCTCGTCTAGAAACAATTAGCGAACTTTTAGGTATGCGTCCGTAATCTCTTTGTAAAAAATAGTTTTGAATAGCATAATCTTAAATTCTGGTCCAAAAAATTATCTCGGTAGAGATGATTTGTTTTGAAAGATTGAGTTAAAATTAAAGAAGATGATGCATTTTTGTTTAATTCTGAAAGTCACAACAAAGATATTCGATATATAAATTATATTAAAATATAATATGAATTCCATTAATTTAAATTATATTTAAATTTATGGAATTCATAAAAATTGATATTTTTTGTAAAAATATGAAAAAATAATAGACTCTCATTTTAACACTATCCTTGAAAAAAAAATTATATTCACTTTATTAGAAATTTACCAATTTCTTTTTATCTGTATAAATTCAATATATTTTTTATACAGGATGAAAAAGATTCATACATTTAAATAACATTTATATAACATTTGTATAATATTTTATATACATTTAGATAACATTAGTTATGTGAAATTAAAATGTGAAAATAGAATATATTGAGCGAGTTTATAAAATGTGTCAAAACATATCGATTATTAATTTTCAAAAATTAAGCATTATTAGGAACAAGACGTTTCTCATATCACTTTGGACAGTTTTTGATATTACAGATGGTGCACAAATCGATGAAATATCTATCCCGGATGATCCACCAGGCTACGAAGCTCCGCCAGGATATGAAGAAATCACCGTATCGAAAAAGTCTCGATGTTTGAATTGCGAATCATATAACAGAAGCTCTTCAAATCAGTAAATGTTCCTTATTTCTTTCTTTTATATTACACACAGCAGGATATTTTAAAATAGATGTATTAAGTGGACAAATTATTTGATGAATTTGAAGTTTCGATGATAGCCAATATACATAATAGTAATCTTTCCGTTTTAAAATATTTTTATAAAACAACGAATATTTAAAAAAAAATTTAATTTGATTTTTTATTTATACATTTAATATTTAATTGGTTAAGAAGAAATCTTATCTTTAATTATGTCGCAACAACATTTTCTTATATATATTTTATACTGTATACTTTTTTCAGATATATACACGTATAGAGAAAATTATTTGAAATAAAATAAATTATTTAGATAAATAGATTATGTACATAAGACGATTAGTATATATTTTTAATTTATTTTAGCTGATTATACTTTCGTAATTTATATAATTTATAATTTATATAATTTGAAACAATTTTTTATATCGATCTATAATTTGAATATTAAATTCTATAATATCCAAAAATTAAATCTTGGAATTTTGTGATCAAGGTTCGATGAGGACGCGAATTCATCTACTTACTTGGTAATGGAAAGCGCAAACAACAGTTGTAGCAGTCAAACAATTCCAGTGGCATCGGGAAACGATCGACATACACTACCTGAGAGTCCACCACCGCCATATATTACACCCCCGGGGACCATACTGCGAAACATGAATTTATTTGGTTTATCGGCATCGATGAAACAGATGTGTCCTGTTCGTCGTAATTGGCTCCGACGTAGCGCGCAATATCCTCAATCCTCTTTCAGGGATCGCCCATCCTCGTCTATGGACGCTGAAGTTCTCGATACATATTTGACGGATTGTACCGTTCCGAATACGAATTGGCGACTCGAAAGTCCCCCAAAAGATATTCAGATTGTTTCAGACACAGTTCAAGAAAATACTGTAGAAGTATTAAAAGCAAATTGTCAACACGTTACAGATGAGACTATCGATAGGTAATTTTTATATATGTATTAAATATATACATTTTTTACATTTAATTATTTTTCATTTCTTTCAAGAGCTGTTGACAGATCGGACGAGAGGAACACGAGCTGCTCTTGCGAGGGCGCATGCGGTTGCGTCATCAGCTCTTCTAGTGTTCAAGATCATTCTGCCAGCAATTTATCAACTTCTGCAACACCGATAAGCGATGAGTGCGAACTGGAACGCGATAAAATGGTGATCGCATCCTCTTCTGTGGGAAAAATTGATGAGCATCAAGAAGAGGATTTTTCTGTCTCGAAAAGTACCATCGTTCGACTTTTAGGTTCTAGGCTAGTGAAACCATCTTGCCATAGCGCCAATTCCACGGCAGCATCGTCGCCCTCGGGCACTTTGCATCATTCTTGCAGAATGTTCTCTCGCGACAATTGCATCACTAAAATCTCGACCATGAGTACGTGCAGCAGCTATGATAAATTGCAAGATGATTTCGAGATTGTGTCAGAGACGGCAAGCACCACAAATTCCAACACGCCGAACGATACACCGAAGAGCGTTGTCAATCAGCATGGACGACGCAACAGTCGACCTAAACACATCAGCTGCGACCTAGATAGTCTTTATGAGGGCATCAAGATCCTCGATTCGTATCTGGCACGCAGAAACATAAATATTGGCCATAGTCATAGACAGTCAGTCGCCGTGATGCTGTTTGGCACTCCGGAGCACGGTTCCGCGCATAATCCAGTCGCATTATCACGCCAAACCACAAGAGAGAAGTATGTGCGCGCACGCATCTGGCGATCTAGTGAGGATGCTGCATCGAACTAATTTGCCCTTGATCGAAGAAGGAATCAATTGAGAGCAAGAATGACGGGAACAATCATTATATTAATCTTTCGGTGATAAAGAGTATAATAATTTAAAAAAGATAGAATAGTCCTACAAGTTAAAGATATTTATAGAATTTCGAATTAGAAATCAAAGGAAGAAAGGAGATAGAAAGAAAGAAAGAGACAAAGAGAAGATAAGAAACATTTATTATTAATTGTATGATTTATTACAAACAACTTTTCCACGATCGATTAAATCAAAATTTAATGTTATAACTTCCAGTTTTAATTAAAATAAACAATTGCGTTAAATAAAATGTCAAAGATTGAAAAGATTAAAAAATGAAATTAAATTAATAAAAAGGATTAAAAATTTTTTAAGTAATAATCGAATATTGTATAGGATAAATTCCTAGTAAAGTTGCGATTATCCAGTCATATTATTGTGTCATATTCGATTGAATTCTGTAAGAGAGTACATTTGGAAGAGAGGGAAAGTAAAATACATTTTTGATTAATGTGATGTTTAATAATAATCTAATGATTTATCGTAAAAACAATCTATTCTCAAAGACATATACGAAAATCTTTGTATAGACGGTTTCCGATATTTTAACAATTTCATTTGTAAAGTGACTAAGTTTGCGTTAAATCTTTGACACTACCTCTTATAGCCGAGGATTTATATTCGAAGAATATGATGCTAAAGTGCTTTTGCAATTAAATTATATTTCTGTAATTCTATGGAATTCGTTTTAATCTAGCTTGGCTGACTTTCGACGGAGATCAAATAGTCTCCATCCCAATAATCTTGAAGTACTCGTTAATTACATTGTTTTCTAATTATTAAATCTTACACCCTCGCGTCATCAGAATAAAGCGTAACGTCGTAGTAAAATATATGTTGCGATATATTCATTGGCCTTCATTTTCCATCTTATACGTACAATTCCATACTCCTCGTACACGAAGGCGATCATACGCTTTATATAGTAAAATATATAGGAATTTTTTTTTCTAAAGAATATTATAAATAATATAATTGATTTTATATATATCAAAACAAGCAGATAATAATCTTTTTTAACTTTTCATCAGAAGAAATGAGTGAGTTCGCTCAAGAATTTATAATTCTTTAAAATAAAAACTGTTGTCAAACACACACACATCAGATCTATTATCTTTGTTTTTGTTATCATAAAAGTAATATTTTGATCTCGTTCATTTTTTTTAATTTTCACTTTCGTAAACTTTCTTTTAATTTTCATTATCTTAAAATTGTCATGATCGCTGTCGGTGCCGGAAGTAAGGAAGTTTGTTTTAACGCTCGGTTAGCATAGAACGGATTTGGCACTTCTTGTAAGACAGGCACGCGTTACTAACAAACAGCTAATGCCATGTACTACAACATCGGTAAAACGGAACAAGTGCCGTTGCGAAAAATACATTCACGTACTTCCGTACGTTCATAGTATGTTCTTGCATGGTTATACCGACACTTATGCTTTCATGCATCTTTAACGTACATTGATTTCGAACGGAACGACGTATGTATATACATTCGCGATCGATGCAGCGCAATGCGTGGAAAAAATTATCGCAAAAACGATGCTCATTCTCTGGTACAAGATGTGTACGATACCGCAGTACATTATGCGTGAAAATTAATTGCGTGACAAATTGCAGAGATATTTATTAAAGTGATTTTCCACGCGATGTGCTCGTTCTTTCGAATAATTTTTTTTTCGCTATTAAGCTATAACGATGAAAAGTGAATAACAAATATCAGCTAATTGTCAAAAATGATATTTATAGAATTGCGTGACGCATAGAATACGCACAATACTTCAAATATCATAATTGAAAAAGTACTTTATTATTAATTTAATATTGTAAGCTTTTTATAGTAACGCTCATGTGCAAAAATATGTAACTTGAAATGTTTCTCGTCATAACTAGAAATTTTTGACATTTAGCTCATATTTAATTTTCATTCATCAATAATGATTTTATTTCGAAGTATCGATGAAAAAAAATTTCTCATTTCATTAATATCGAACTGACTATTGAATTATTGTATATCATTTAAGTGCCAAGTGGCCTAAAGAAATCTAATCTTAATTATTCTTGATGAATGAGAAGGTATATTCATGTATATCCACTCAGGTCCCTAGTTCCTTGAGGCAATTGATTTTTGGTATGTTTGATATGTACTAAGCATATCAGTGCAACTATGCCTCACGCTTTTGCGTGTACAACTTAAAAATAACTACATAAATGTAATCTTAGATATTTAATAAAAATATTGATTAAATCGATCGGTCGTAAAAAAATATACGTTAAAAAAAGGAAACTTCTTGCAATGGTTTTGCAAGCTTTTCATTTCAAAAAAGTTGTTCTCTAAATATTCTCTTTGCTATTTGAGGATACAATTACACTTTTGAATATTTTAATTTTTCTGATTCAAGAACAGGCTTTTTTGTGCAGTGATTGATTCATTCGAAATTAATGAAGTACAACGCGCGCAAGATGAAAAATTCTCGAGAATTCACAACATTTATTTCAAGCAATGACAGTACTGCTTCATGCCACGATTTAGACAGCTAGCGCTGGTGGCGTAAGGATTGATTCTGCTGACTTCGCTGTCGGACAAGGTATAATTGCTATCGCCGAAATATCTGATAGTGATCTCGAAGTTACCGTTGCCAGGCGTCGTCTGGATCATGTAGAAATACACGACACTGGACGAGTTTTCCGCGCCGAAATCAATCACCTCGTTCACCCGATGCACCTTCTTCAGTCTGAGTCGCGCGCACAATCGTCGGCCCTTCTTGTCCTTGTAGTTTTTCACAATGTTTTCCACGTGGTCCAGAAACTTTTGCACACCGGCAATGGCAATTCTGTCGTTGACATTGATTGGTTTGAAGGCCGTGCAGGTACACCAATGATAAGCCACTCCCGCGTCCTGGCAGCCTCTCTCTCTGGGAACAGGCGCGAAGAGAGACTGACAGGTGGAACATCCCGGACTAGGATCGGCATCGCTGCCTCCAACAACGAGGATGTCCCTCAGGGTTTCGTAAACATCATACGGAGAAGTGAGTCGATTCTGATTCACCACAAGGGCTTGATAGGCCTCAGGATTCTCTCGACGGAACCACTCGGGTAGCCAAATGTAGATGTATGGCAATCTCTCTTCATACCAGCCCATGAAGGTCGTGCGAAACTCGCCCCATCGCATACCATGATCGCTCAGGAAGATTATCATCGAGTCATTCAAGCTCCCGTCCTGCTCCAAAAGTTCAAATCTCTTCAACATGCGACTATCTATTGATGAGATGCCGTTCATGTTGTCGTGGCTGATGGTGTTCGTCCAGAAGAAACCAAAGTACGGCACGCCAATAAATGTCTGAGCGAAGTTCACGGCGTAGTCGAAAATCCGATCGAAGCTCAGCTCGGGACCGGTGCAGTATTTCAGGTTAAATCTACAAATGGCGTAAGAAATCTTTTTCTATCAGCGAAATATCGATTCATTTCTCTTGAACGATAATTAAGTAAATTAAATTATCTTACCTTTTCTTAACCTTGAGAAGCTTCTCGCTGGCCAGCATGTAAGGTCTCAGATAGTAATCCGTAGGCGGCTCGACAAAGCCGACCTTGAGGTAGTTGAATGTATTGAGGGCAGTCTCGTCCTCACCGTAGGCCGTGACGTAGCCGGCATTGCGGAAATTATGCCAGATGAAAGGACAGTTATCGAGCTTGTAGGCCACCGTCGGTTTGCATTGCAAGTACGCCTGTTGTAGCGTCTGACCCGTTAGAATCGCCATAAGGTTCGGAAACGTGTTGTCGCCGATCTTGTTGTAGCCCTTCAAACTGATCCAACCGGTCTCGCTCAGGTACTTCTCGGTCTTGGGCATAGCGCGGTAAAAGTTCAGTCGGCTGACACTGTCGATGCCGAGGACAAGCACGCTCAGCTTCCTCGAGAAGTTCCCAGATTGGCTGCCGTTGCGATCGCGCACCTTTTCCGGATTCAAGATCGCGTGAACATTCTCGTACACCGTCTTCATTGATGATTTCGTCTTCGTCTTAGGTTTCGACTTGGTCTTTGCTTTGCACGACACGTGCGCTACTTCCACTTCGCGCGGGAGTACCACTTGCCTCGTGAAGTTCTCGCACTGCTTGACTCTATTGAGAAGAGAGAATCAATTTCCAAGTAGCTTTTAACTTTAATAACGTTTTAAAGGCAGTTTTTCTTTTCTTGCGAATAAGGCAAGTTAAATTTTGTTTACTAAACTATGGAATTTGCAAAGTAAATTGGCAATTTAAAATAATAATTTATAGTATCATGTATCATGACAAATCTTACGATATCGTTGAATCGTAGTTGTTCTTCTTGGACTTATCCACCTTGGGCCTGGTTATGGATGACCAGCAGCAGATTGTGTCGCTGTGTATGGCCGGATCGAGAGAAAGAAAAACGCTGCCGTTAGGTTCTCTCGAAATTTGCGAGAGGACGAGATCGTTCGGGCATTTCTGCAACTTTTCCTTCCTCACGAATTTCGTGATGGACGGATCCAGAGGCTCTTTGGACAGCATGTGACACTTTGGATTCCATACGAGGTAACCGTCCACCATGCCTGTCGCCCATACCAATTTAAAATTGTTATATTTTTGATGATTTTAAATCGAGTCGAAATTTTCGTCCCACTTTTGATCTCAATTTTCAATCTGACATCTGGTTTGACATTTTAAGCAATCAAAAAAATCATCTTCTCTTTTAAAATAATTTAATTTACATTTTATTTCGAATATTTTCTTTTGAAAGTTTCTTTTTTAAATATCTAAATAAAAAATTGTTTGTTTACTATCTTTTCGAAATGCAAAATAAGAGTTTAATTTTTACATTAATTAAACAATTATTATTAAATTCTCTAGAACTGATAAATAAGAAAATTAAGATTGAAAATAAGAACAAAGTCTTGAAAAAATGGCAATTTTACAAAGTAATTCAATATATAGTTAGACATCTAAATAAAATTTATACGGAATGTCCTTATAGGATTAAAAAAATATTTTAGAATAAAAAAAATTTAAACCTAAATATATTAAATTTAAATATTTATTTTGTTATATTTCTAGTAAACTATTTGTTTCGTCATGCCAAGAGCGATATAGTATTGTTCGTTATAAATAGATAACGATCGATGATACGAAACTAGTTGTTAATTCAAGACTTCCAGAATATCGAAACAGAGACTATACAGTCAATTCTTAAAATATATATTTTAAATACTAGCGTAAAATGTATTGATGGATTTTCCCGTGAATTTTTTATAATATCACAGCGTTGAATAAGTTATTGCGAGATACGTGAAATTTTAGCACATTCTTATTTTCAAGCATGAGTGTATCGTTCATACGTCTAAAAAAGTGATAAGATCAACGACAACTGCTTTTAGCTTTTCACTCTGAACACTATGTCTATTGTCACCAATATTATAGATCCTCGGAGTAATATTATTATTACGCGAGTCAGCGAGGTGTGAACGTGTTAACGTATATTAGAATGAACAAGGAGCTCTTTTACATTTATATAGTTGAATGTTTATATATGTTTTACATATCAATTTTAATGTATATCAATTAATTAATGTATATCCCGCATAACATAATGAAAGTATGCGACAATGAAGGAAAATTTATAAGCAAATATTTAACAATGACTCTTTCTTATCATAAATTAAATTTTTAATAATATTATTTCAAACTTTTCATTCGAGTAAATGATATCTTTTAGCGTAAAACATATAAGATTTGAGAATATTGATCATTAAAACTCGATATAAATCCGATATAAAAGCGATCGTTGAAAAATATATAAGCATGATAAAAATGATAGTAAAAAAGATAAAGACAAAAATAAAACTGATTTAAAAATCTAAGAAATATAGAATAACTTTACATTATTAAATAAGAGATTTCACTATATAAGATATATTAATAAGATATTTTATCGCCATTTAGATTCTTTAATTCGCTAAAGAAAATTATAATAAAATAGAAATTTAAGACTTCTACAATTCCTTTTTTTCTATACATGATCTGATTTAACATAAACAAACACAAAGAATGCACTAACTTCCAGTCTGCTAATGAATAAAAGAGTTTTAAGTATGTAAATTAATTTGATGCTTTTATCCATTTTAAAACATTTTATATTTATATATTTAAATTTAAATATAATGCGATCTCTTGAACTGCTGTTATTAATATTTATAAAATACTATATAAAACGATAATGCGGACAATCTGACTCAGAAAACACATAATAAACACGAAGGTCATGGATAAAATATATATTTGGCATTATTTTTTGTTGCGTTTCAACGAAAAGAAAATGTTATTTCAGTCACAAAACTGATTTATTAGTTCTCGGCAAAACTGCACTGAGTCATAAAAAGTGATGTTAAAAGTTTGGAAACTTTGATTTAAGTAACCAAGTTCCGATTAGAAACTTGAAAAATTATTTTTGCATTAATTAAACAATTGCTCCAAAGAGAACATGAAATAAAATCATTATATTACGTCATTATATCATTATATTAATGACATGGCATGTCATTTTTAAAAAAGTACAGAATTAATTTGCATAATAATCGCGTGGATTCATATCAGCTCGGTGATAAATTACGGCATTAATTACGGCATTAATTACATTAATAGAAAAATAGGAGCATGACAGTTTCATAGCTTTTATCTACTCAAATAACGAGTCGTGAGATATGAGAACGAATTTTTTCTCACCTTCCGTAATGTTATACGACTTGAAGGACGGATACTGTACGTCGAATTCGTAGCTGTCGTCGGGAACGAGATAGAGGGTGACGACAATCAGGCATGGTAACAGAACCAGAACGAGGCCGGGTCGGCGGCAGAAGCACTCGGTGAAGCGTGACCATTTTGCCTTCCACATCATGTTGTCGAGGTCACGCCTTTCTCGGGGTTACAAAAGATCCCGGTTTCGCGTCTTAATCTTAATCTTCGTTGTATCCGCGATCGGTTTACCCTCATTCGAGGATGCCTCGACTGTTCGTCCCTCGTCGCCCAGCTTTCTCGCACGGCATCGCTGATCACATTCGTCCTTTCGCGATTCGCTCTGTTCTCTTCGTCCTCAGCTTCCTCGTCCTCTCGAAAAAGAAAGGCGATCATCGAGTGGCCGCCGTGCTTTGCGAGGATGCTGAGACGAGCTCAACTATCTCGCTATCTCAAGAGTTGTTCTGAAATCGAAAGTGAGTTTTCAACTATCCTACTTTGAGAAAAAGATCAAATGTTTGTGTTAAAACGACTGAGATAAAAGATTTCTAAGGCCGGTATTCATAGTGTGTTTTTATTTTTAAGATTGTTTTAAATATGAGGTTTGGAAATGTTTTACGACCATTCATTAGCTAAATAGAATCTTAAGACAACCTTAGGATCTTACAATTAGATATAAGAATAAAATATAAATACAAAAATCCTACGCAATTTTTAGACGTCCTTTATAAACATATCTAGGTTTTTTCATCTTTTCGTGTTTATCTACTTTTTCTTTCTTTCCTTTGTATTAGTTTGGCCAAGTGAAATATGTATTAACAAATAATTTGAAATTGAATCTAAAAGACATTTAATTATAATTATCTATGACACGCAATAAATATGCACTACTTCTACTGAATTCTTATAAAGTAGGTCCTATTTATCGTATCTAATTATCCTTTTAATTTTCAAATTTTTTTCAGTTAAATTTTTTCAACTAAATTTTTTATGCTTCTAATAAAAAATGTGATAACAAATATCTTAAATGTGATAAAAATAACTTAATATAAAATAAATTGAACTTTATTAAACTCAATAAAAAAGTGCATTTAAAGCTCAAAATAACTGACATGTATGTAAATGTATCATATAATCTATTTAAAATTATACTATAAAAATATTGAAATATTATTGGGTAATTTATACAATTATTGTAAGTACTCTTACATATATTATTATATGACATATTGCGAAAATAATATAAGTTATAATTTTTTCTTCCCGTTAAATCATCAACGAATATTTAAAAATATTATTGAAATATCTTTTGTGATGTTTTTGAAATATCTATTGCGTTTTTTCAATTTTTATCTAATAACTAATATAAAATATATTAAACTATTATTTCAAAATAAAATGGAATATTTGCGACTTTAATGAATTGATGAATGATCTCTGTTGCAATTATAAAAAAATATTTTTTAAACGAAAATTTGCTCATATGTCAATAAAACTCATATGTTATAAAACTGTAATATTTTAGTATGATCCGAGAACACTTGAAACAATATATCTATCTCGAACGAGAATTGGTCAATCAATTGATCAATCATTGATCATTACTCGAGTAATAAACATCTTGTTCTATAAAAATACCGCATCAAATTTCAATGAGAGAGAAAATAGATAATAAAATAAAATAGATAACAGTTATCGCAATAAATTTTAATCTTTTTAATGAAATAAACGTGATTTCTCGCTATTCTGAAGCTTGAATTTTGCTTTCCAGTTCTTTATTTATATGCAAATTGAATAAATCATTGAAAATATTGATTTTAATGCAACAGTATATATCAGTTTTTTTTCTATATATTTTGTATTCATAGTTATATTTTACATGAGTGATAAAAAATTATTACGTTTCAAAAATCTTAAAAAAAAATTTATAAATAAAATAAGAAAAATAAGAAATTCCAAAGAGCCCTTCATCATCAATTGCATAAAATTTCTTTCATGTTATCAATTAAGGATTAAAGTGGCAAAGTATCAAACTGATTAGATAAATGCTTGTTGTATGTTCTCTCGACATGTGTCAGCGATCAAGAGCTATCTATGCAAAGATGTTCGTCGTCGCAAGCTGACCATGAATTTTGTTTCAATATATTTCTGATAAAACCTAATCTCGTTATGCTTCCGGTAAATTCCATTTTCAAACAGATCCCGGTCCCGATAATGATCATCATTGTTGCATTTGCAACAGACGCTCTTAAATGCTTTTGTTTAATTTTTCGTACAATATATGAACAGTATAAGTATTCTCCTTTCAGAATAGTTGTCTTTAGGAAAATTTCTTTTCAATTATTTCTAAATTATTTCACTACAAATTTGTTCATTTATTATATTATTAATTCCTTGTAATGTAAAAATATTCCATAAAAATTTTCTTCTTCAAATATTATATATCTAATATTTCGTCATGTTTTTAATATGCAAAAGAATACCTTAGCTCGCGCTGTAACTCTTCCATTCTTACCGCAGACAATCTGTGTGAATTAATTGCGCATCTTCCATTTATTACCTCTTTTATGCATGACAAGGTAATAAAAATAATTATGCTCATTGAAGCTAAACATTTATTGAAAAACAACAGAATACTTAAATATCTCAATACGTAAGTTAATACTTTGTGATTGCATAATGTGTGTGTCAATTGAGCAGGAAAATTTATAAAAATCATTCGAACAATACATAAAAGCTATTTTAGTATGATCCGAGAACACTTGAAACAATATATCTATCTCGAACGAGAATTGATTATTACTCGAGTAATAAACTAAACGAATTCAACATTCGATTGTATAATTGATCGTGCAAGATTATTTGAAATGACAATTCTGATGTGCGGCAACACACTGTAGATTTGAAGAGAACGGAAGAGCAGATAAAATGATTCCTTTCTTCCCTTCCGTTCTTCCCTTTCCGCGTAGAAAGCGTAGGTGTGTGTAATTGAATATCGGACATTGAATGATGAGCTACGTAGTAGCTTGCAGAAATCGACAAGAGCAACGTTAAAATGTAAAGCATGCGGTAAACCTGTTTTTCGCAAATGTCAGGAACGAATTTCGATAAATCAATATATAATATAGGCCTGACGGAGAAGCAGTTGAGAAAAGATTGAATACACTTGACAAATAATCTTATGTGTGTCTTAAGGTACACTTTTTAGAAAATTTTGCAAAATTAAATATTATGTTAAAATTGATTCGCATTAAAATTTAATTGAAATGTCATTCATAAAATAATTCCGATAAAATAAAGATTTCACGCACACACATTTTCTTTTACGTACAAATTTCTTGAATGAATTTGATTAGATTTTTTCTTAACAAAGAATCGTCGTTATCGAAAATTTGAAATTTTTGTGAACGAAGGGATGCACAGATAAATAACAGTATTATTTCTGATTTACTTTGAGTGATGAATATGTGCATGTGTATAGTTTATATTATCAAGACATGACATGACATCCCGATGACAGGAGCACAAATATATGCAAACTTGACAAGTTTCACGATTATGCAAGTTGGTCAAAATTTCACTTGCTCGAACCTTTCTTTAAGAAATGAATAAAAAATCCCGACACACGCAAACAGATTAAATTGCAATTTATGAAGAGCTCCGGGAATTCTTACGCAGCAGCGACACACGAGAGATTCGCATTCTCCGCGCTCTCGGGACAAGGGTGACGATATCTCGAATCATGATCGGAGCACACAAACGATCACGGAAACCATCACTCGGTCCTTTCGAATTACCTCTCGAACGCGCGTGTCGACGTATCAAATGATAAGCGGTTGATCGCGGCACAATTCCTCGTCGACGTGTTACAGGACGAATCGTCGACGCTTATCGCATCTCCTCGCGTCGCGTATGCTTCCGTACGCAGCTTATTAAGGGAGGACGATGCTCGACGCATAACGACCCTCGGCACGAGGTCTCACCCCGCTCGCGCGGCGAGCGAGGGTTGCGGCGAAAGCCTTTAATCGAATCGAACTGGCCGGGTCGACGAGATGCGACGAGACGCGCGCACGTGCCACCCACGCTGCAACCAGGCAACTCCGTCGCCGACTGACGGAGATTCGCGCATACGTCGTCCTCGTCGTCGCCGTCGTCGTCGTCGTCGACGACCACCCTCTACTCGTGCCGCGTTGCGCCATCGCGATGCGCGCGTCTCGTCTGTTTACTGAAACGCAATTGTGTGCTTTCGATAAAGATCTCTCATTTACAAGTTAAAGCGTTTAAACAAAAATCTAAAATCGATAGTTTGCTTTGTTCAGACACTGTGACTTCCCGATAATGATCTTCGAATGAATTTACAATGATCTCCGGATGGATTTACAATGATCTCTGAATGAATTTACAAGATTATTCACCGTTTAAATAAATTCTAGACTCGATGCTTTGTGGTTTATCTAGGAACTTCAAGCAACGAGGAGCTTAAGATATATCAGATCTTTAAGACATTGTATCAGGATATTTATGTCGCATAAATTTTTATAACAGACCATATGCTCAACAGATATACGTTTTGCAGATATTCATAGAGATAGATACTTTCAATAAGTGATAAATTTATTTATTAAGACGAAGCATTAATAAATTATTCAGCATATTAATAAAAAAATACGTATGCTTTGGAATTATCATTTTAATATTCTGTCGTGAAATTTGTAAGATATTCTTGGATTCTACAAACAAGCTTTTTTGTAGAATCAAATAATAATTATTTTGTTATTAGAGTAACAAATAAACTCATTAGATTAATGAGTTAATTCTTAATCAAAATCATTATTTTAGAGAAAAACAAAAATGTAATTTCACGAGTAAAGTTTATTATATGAATTAATTGAATATTTTGTTTTACAAAAAAGGAATTACAAATAATTTTTCAAAAGTTAGAAAGAGTTATGCTCGTGCCGTTAATATCAGTATTATTAAATATTGACAAATTCCATTTCTCTATTCATATCTTGTATGCAAATATTTAGTTTCAACAGAACTATTTTTAACGCTAGAATTCAATATGAAGCACATATAGACTGCGTTCCAAAATTAGATATGTTCCAAATAAATCATGATGTTTTATTCTAGAATAACTGCTTTTTCTCAGTATTTAATAAACAATTTTTATTTTCAATGATCAAATAATCATTATCGAGTTCATTATTAAGCCATATAAATATATTTTAGTCAGTATTCTTCCCGATGATTAACCTTATATGTGCAAATATTTTTAGACTTTTAAATCAGATTACAATGTAGTTCAATAATATTAAATTATAAATTTATCCGTAATTATATCTAGTGTAAACAATTAAGAAATTAATTATTAATAGAATTAATAATATTAAAATTAAAATGATATTTAATAGTATTTAATAAAAATTTTATATCAGAAAATATAGCAAGGAATGTCGAACAAACGAAATAATTTTACTTTTATGACTGTGTTTCAAAATTCACTGCCAGTACTGAAAATCTATAGTGTACGTCATGTAAACTATATGATTTATTTGGAACATATCTAATATATAATTAGCATATAATGTTGATTAAAACTAGTATTTGCTTATCTATGAAAAGTACAAATTTAAGTTTTATGTATTTTAAAAAATAAAAAAGACTAACAAGTAGAAGTGGTCGAAAGATAATAATCAAATAACAATATAAACACAGGCTTATTTTAAGGACCAACCAAATAAGAAAACAATTATAGGCAAGAAAAAATTGTATATAACATTAAGCAAATACAAAGACGTTAGTAATCATTACTGATGTTAAAAAAAAAATAAAATAAAGACACAAACGTTTCGATCCGCTTCGGATCATTTTCAATTCTTATAAATAAATGTATACAATACGCTATAAATGTATACAAAAAAATTTGAAAATATCGAACGACAGCAAGGTATAAGCGCAAACACAAGAAATGTATACAATACGCTATAAATGTATACAAAAAAATTTGAAAATATCGAACGACAGCAAGGTATAAGCGCAAACACAAGAAATGTATACAATACGCTATAAATGTATACAAAAAAATTTGAAAATATCGAACGACAGCAAGGTATAAGCGCAAACACAAGAAATGTATACAATACGCTATAAATGTATACAAAAAAATTTGAAAATATCGAACGACAGCAAGGTATAAGCGCAAACACAGGAGACTTTTTATCATAATAGCAGACAAAAAACATTCTTTTAAAAGATGTTAACGCAAAAATTAGGGAATGCAATGGAAAGCATAAGGAGCGACGAGCCACTTGCGCATATTAAACGGTGACATATTCAAAGGCGGACGCAGAAGAATACGCACGTAGAGGCAAGGAAGCCCCCAAGAAGCTGCAACAATAAAAGAATACTTGAACTCGCCTCTACGTGCGTATTCTTCTGCGTCCGCCTTTGAATATGTCACCGTTTAATATGCGCAAGTGGCTCGTCACTCCTTATGCTTTCCATTGCATTCCCTAATTTTTGCGTTAACATCTTTTAAAAGAATGTTTTTTGTCTGCTATTATAATAAAAAGTCTCTTGTGTTTGCGCTTATACCTTGCTATCGTTCGATATTTTCAAATTTTTTTGTATACATTTATAGCGTTTATTTATAAGCATTGAAAATGATCCGAAGCGGATCGAAACGTTTGCGTCTTTATTTTATTTTTTATTTTGTAATTTTCAAATTTAATTTTTTTTTTTAACATCAGTAACGATTACTAACGTCTTTGTATTTGCTTAATGTTATATACAATTTTTTCTTGCCTATAATTGTTTTCTTACATCAATTCCTCGCTATTATTCTAATAACCATGTTTTTCATCTTGATGAAAAGCGCCTGGAGACAAAGCGCTATTATAGAAAAACACACGCATGAAGCACACGATTAATCCTCCAGTCGTGCCATTAATAAACGTCACGGTAATTTCTGAGTTCCGAACTTCCGATGTTAAAGGGATGAAAAATGAGTCCTCAACGTCGATGCGCGCCCTAATGATTGCGGATTAAAAGTCGGAACGAGGCGAGGAAAGACACGAATGTGCAATTACGACTAAAAGTTAATTAAACCTTAACTTAATTTAACTTCCGTCTTTCGAAGAGACCGCGAATGTGCTACTTGGGCACGCACGGCATCGATTTCCGGCGATAAGATTAACTCTCGAACATCGTATTGGAATCCGATAAATTCGGAGCAACTTTGATAGAGAGTTTTAATTCTCTTTTTTTCGGGAGTTTATTCACCAAAGAGGAGACTCGAGAAAATGTCGGAAAAATATTTTGCGAAGGGAATGTCCAGCGTTGAAGTTTTTCACATCCAAGTTTCTAAAGAGACAGATGAATTTATTCAATCTCAGTGTCACGTTCTCTCTAGAGTTTAGAGTTCGCTTTTTGGACGAGGTACCTGATGCTGCGGCACGTGCACGTTGTTCTGGGATATATCGTACGGACAGTTATCGACGAGCACCGACGAAGCCAGGCACGCAGTCGCGGAATTGCCCGGGACCAAAGCATGCCATACCGCGGAAACATTGGATTGCGTAGAGGTGCACGAGGTGCACTGTGGAATTTTTGTTCCTTTACTTTCGCCCGCCTAAAATATACCTCCATAATTCTCCCGAATATATAGTCTCCGATATATTATACTGTTAGTACAATAATTCGGTCCAATAAATTTTTATGCGTTTTTTTTTCAAAAATTGGTGAACCAGTAAAGCAAAATTTATCTCTCTTTATAATCAATAAAATATAAATAATCTTTAAAAATGTCGATAATAATTTATTGCTATTATATAGAGAAATTTTTTTACTTTATCTATTACACAATTCAATAAAATTTTTTTTTAATTTAGGAGAAAAAATAATCACATTTTTATATATAATCCTTTTATCATCCTTTTACGTATAATCTTTTTATAATAAATATAATTTCAATTTCTAAAATATATGCTCGATTATATTATATTACAATTATTGAGAAATTTAAGAAGTTTGATGTACTAAAGTTTATATGACGTTATTGAGAGATAGGATAATTTATAATATAAATCTCTCACAAGGTCGATGATAATAAGATTTGCATCGCATATCGTCGATAATTCGCTAACAAGACGCGGTATTTATACTTATGACATATTGCAAAATACATTCGTTATGTAACATATTTGTGTGACGTATTTGTCCGTTTAAATATATTATATCGAGTCAGCTACTTTACTATTATATACTATCTTATATACTATTATATACTATTATATACTATCATATTCCAGAAAAAACAAGCGGCACAAAATTACAGATGAGAAGGTGGTTTCTTATTACGCAGATAAAAATATAATAATATAGATAATTTAAGACTTTATTAAAATTTATTAAATTACATTTTTTTATTTGATGTTTCTAGATATAGATTATAAATTAGATATATATCGGACACAAAACGTCAGATAAAAAACTAATTGATAGTCATACAAAATTGTACAAAAATATTTGTTCATATTTTGTTACATATTTTATTACATCTCGTTAATTTTATAATATCTGTACACTTTTAATGTTTATAAGATATCTACTCTTGTCTCCAAACGACTTTTGATAGCTACTTTAACCCCTTCGCCTACAATATCGTGTAGAGAGTCGTGGTAAAGAAATCGGACCAAACATAAGAACTACGGATCAGACTCATGATTAATTGTCGCCAATGTCTTTCTGTCTCAGTTATGTGTTATTCTTGCCACATTCGCACGTTCAAATATATTTTCTTAAAAATATTAGAAGAAATGTGTGCGATTGATACAACTTTGAGCGCTCGGCCGAACCGTTAAATGGCTCGACCTTGCTGTTGAGTGACACACGCCGTCGAACTTAATCGTAGGAGGTTAGGGGTTAATAAATAGGTGCGTCATTGAAATTCAACGGAAGACATTATCACTCTCGTCCATTTTGTCGATAATATTAAATTTGAATATATGCGATAAGTTTTACAGAGAAGTTGAGAACTGAATTAATACTAATATACAGTGTCGATACATATATGGTACTCTTTAATAAAATTTTACTTGTGATGTTGCGTCTTCCGTGCTACAAACATGGTGCATGAGCGTAGATTCAAAACTAATATTGATATTTCCATTCTCTTTTATTAGAAATATACCCAGCAATCGTACATTTCACGCTTGTCTTACATCACACTCTGTGCAAACCAGCACACGTGTCCAACAACAACGTGAATAATATAATAATTCAATAATATAAATTAACATCTTTTATCTAAATCTTTGATTATGACAATTAATTTTATCCGTTAAAATAGAGACCTCGGACACAGTACTTTGCCTCGAATTCAAACACTGAGAAGATCAGTCCTGAATGCTGTGCTCATCACGGGGCAACCAGGACTATCCCTCGGCGCAAATTATCCCCGTCTCTTATGGTATCATTATACGCGATTAAGTTCCATTATTACACGAGCGCAATCATTTCTCCCGAGTACGCGACTCGCTACTCGCGACTCGGCATCAGTCACTGGACCGGTTCGATTTAACGAGCGAGATCGCAGAAGATGCGACGATAGGTTCCTTCTCTGTCTCTCTCCTTGTTCGTGTCGGTGAGTAGCCGGCCCGAGTAAAAACGGTGTTTCAGTCTCGAAACCGCGGAGCGATCGAAAGCTTAAATTGCACCGCGATACGGCTTAACGATCTTTGGTCACACTTACTTTCTGTGCCTTTCTATTCGAGCACAACTTGTTTCGCGAAACCATGGACGCGAGCCAGGTGGTAACTTGCTCTCCTCTCCCTCTCTTTTTCTTCTCCTTATCCGACGATGCGACGCGAAATGATGAAGAAATCGGCCGACCGGTCGAGATTAAATCCTTCCGCTGCATCCTGCAATATGCCAGCTTGATAATCAATGTCTTATCGCAAACAATAATGTAGAACATCGTGCCTACGCTGAGAATGATAAGTTGCGAAAAAGAATAGATTATCATTTGTCTCGCGAGTTTGATGAATTTACGAGGAAATAAACTGAAAATCTAATGATAAATTAATACAATTTAACTAATGATAAATTAATACAATTTAAAGAATTTCATTATCTAATTTCACATATATTCTGATATAATATGTTTATAGTGCTAATAAATCTGTTAAATAATAGCACTCAATGTTGACTTAAATTCTTCAATCTAAGAGGATTAGATTTTTGAAATCAATATTGCGCTTTTAATAACATCTCCAGATTCTTCAAATTTAATAAGACTTCAAATTTAATAAAAATTCTATGGAGCGGATATTACTGTTTTAGATATAACACATCTCTCTAATTAACTCATCTTTGCTCTAATTTTAGAATCGATTTGAACAATAATATTTTACATTTCATATATTATAACTATGTTCTTTTGAGAAGAAACATTTTCGCTCATAAAGATACAAAAGAAGTTATTTTTCTTATTTACAGAGCGGAAAGAAAGCAACGTCCCACATTTTGGTCTCCTTTCTTTTTTCTGCGAACGTTCCACTTTTTTCCGCTATTCTTTCGTCTATTGTTCGCAAGAATGCACGGTCATCCCCTATCTCGGTCGCGTGAAACAACCCGCCACGAGGCCGTGCCTCCGAATCGCGCGAATTGTTTCCGTCTCGGGATATATGCACGCTCTCGTTTATGATTAATTCATTTATATAATTTCTCACTGTACATTCTTCCGGATGCGCGTGAAAGAGATTATTACGGAAGATAGCAACGTAATCGATGCATCCTGCTCTAATTACACGCGAGCGTAACCCCGTCTTGCGTTCTAGGAAACAAAGGAGCACGCGGATCATGACGGCTCGATGCATCGAATCGCAAACGATTACTCCTTGTTGTATGTACATTGAAAATTTCAACATGGACAGGACGGTAATTGCCAATAATAAAAATCTTGGAGAGAAATAAACTAACGTTTGTACAAACAACGCTTTATTTATTCGACAACGCGGAAAAAAGATACCTCTCACGTTCTTTCCAAGAGAAATATCCTTATATAAATGGCTATTAACTTTAATATATGTGATTTTTCCCAACTGATTACTAGCGTGCCTCTCGAATGCAAATTAAAGACTAGACGGAAAAACAGCTATAAATAGGAAACATCGAGAGGAAAGAAGTCGATGATTATATAAATATGTATGATATTCCATTTGAGATTTTACCACGTTTTTTCAATGAGAAATAATTTTTTGAAGACGCGGCGCCTATAGTTGGAGTGATTTTTTTATATGTCATTAATTTTTCACGTCGAGATTACTTACTGCAGACGCTGCAGTGTTTCTCGTCGGAACCATCGCCGCATCCGTCCCGGCCGCTGCAGGTTATCGCGTCGGAACGACACCTACCATTGTCACATCTGAACGGGCAAAATCTCGCGCTAATCCAGCGATCTCGCGTCCTGCAGGCACCTCTGGGCTCGTCGCTGCCGTCCCTACAGGACACCACCGCGTTACAGAATTCGTACGCCGGTAGGCACTGACCATTGTTGCATCTAAACGAACCTTCGGGACATTCTGCGAACATGGATCGGAAAAATTTCGAGTATAAATTAAAGCAGAAATTAAAGCATCAATGTATAAAATTGTTCATTCCTTTTGGAAAAGAATACGATAATAATTATAATCGCAATGATCATAGTAACTTTATTAAGAGAGAATGCAAAAGTTGAACCAATTTTATGATAAGGATAGATGGACTTAATTTTTTTAAAAAAGATATATTTCTTAAATTATTTATTTCTAAATAAATAAGTTATATATAATAAAAATTATAATTTTCTATATTGAAAATAGAAAACAATATTCAAGAAAATATCAAAAAATATTCAATTTCGAGAGCTTTATAATAGAATAGCGATTAATTTGATAACAAATAATAATTTTTTTTTACTTTTTTAAATAATTTAGCACTTGTGCAAATTTATAATTTTAATTTTAAAAATGTTGAAAAAAATGACATAGAAATAAGGTTTTTATTTCCATTTTCTATGATTTAAAAAAAAATTCCCAAATAAGCTCGTGTTTCATTTTCTGTGATTTTAAAAAAATGATCATCTCTCTTGAAATTATTCAATATTTACAAAAAATATTAAACTTCAATAGAGTAAAATTAGAAAAATTTCTTCAAAGACAAATGCGAGGATACCGACTTCGCCGATTGTTGCAGCCGATTTCGTCCTCGCCGCGAGGACAATCGCGATTGCCGTCGCACAGCACGGCCCTCGATAGACAGACGTTGCTGTCGTTGCATCTGAACGCCTGCACCGGACAGCGGTGGCCGGTGCATTCCTCGTCGGAACCGTCGGCGCAATCCTCGTGGCCGTCGCAGACGAAGAACCAGCTGATGCAGCTGCCGGACGATCGGCACTGGAACGTGCCCGGCGCGCAGCCGGTTCGACGGGCGTTGCAACTGCTGTTCGTCGGAAAAGTGCAGTCGCACACGCCGCCGATGCAACGCGACATCGGATCGGCCATACGGCACTCGAGATCGGCGATGCACGACAATCCCAGGCTGACGGCCGTCATTATCGTGCTCTCGTGACGATCCGTCTTTATTGGTGCTGGAAGGCGACGGGGGTTGAGCGGGAATTAGATCGAATTACGGTATCACAGATGGAGAACGCGAGCACTTTGATCCGTCAATTTTTAATATTCTCATCTTGGTGTGCGTTAACTTGTGGTATTTGTCGCGAAAAAAGTTACGTTTCAAAATATAAGAATGTTAAAATCTCTCTTATTTCTTACCAGACGTCGAGGACGTTGTGACATAAGTGGACTCGGTGACTTCTGCCTCGATGATGATGCTATCGTCGTCATCGGGGAGCTCATTCGGTCCGAAACGATCGTTGGTTCCGGGTCTCATATTGAATGATGGCCTAGTCACCAGGTTTACCGGTATCAATTGATTGGGAGCTTCCGTTGATAGAAGCATCGATGCGTTTTTCAGCCAGGATATTTGAACGCCTGTTCAGAGACAATATCGAAGAATCTCATCTAGAGATTAATGCATAACAATTGCTTATTGTCTTTATCTAATTAACGCATTTTAGGCTGGAATGAGAGAATCCTTAAAAGCGATAATAGGGGGAGGGGGGGTAATAACACTTTGATTGTATCGTACAATTCGTATTCGGTGTAGACTCCAAGCAAAGCACCAAGTTTTCTTTGTATATTCACGTTCGCAGGGAAGTGCCATTCGTGTTTCGCTAATGATCGCGCTAATTAAGAATGCGCGAATCGCCTCATCTCGTTAATCCGCTCGAGTGCATTCGGGCTGGAAATCGCACACGGTCTCCGCAAATTCCCGTTGCGACCGTGTGCACACGGAAAAGCTGATTACCGGATAAAAGACGCGTGAAACAGGGAAGGGGAAAAGCGAGGGGGAAGCGATGATACAGCCTGATACAATTCCCATACAACGCTCGAGGATTACTCTACGGGAATGCTAAGTGGCTTATGGAGAAGTCAGGTACCAAATGTTTGCTCGTTACCAGGTACAAGTTTGCGCACTCGACAGAGTACGAAGTTTAGGACGCAGTTCCAATTCTGCGACAGTCTCGTAGTGCTTTTTTTCTTAAAAAGGTAGTGATAGAGTGTTTTTTTGTGCTAGGAATAAATCTCCTGACAAAAGTATTACTTAGAGAGAGATTTATTAACTAATTATATAAAATAAAATATTTATAATTTTATATTTGTATTTCATGTAATTAAACAATGTTATATAAAATATAATTAATATATTAATTTATTTGGAAAAGCAAAATGTTAATTACATATTGTACTCTTATATTATTTTTGTGAAAAATAAATTTTGAAATAATATTTTAAAATTTATTTTACTTAAACGAAATAATTTATTTCAATAATTTACATTTAAAATAATGTGCTATTGCCAACACATAATTTGTGAAATTCAGTCTAATGAAAAAACGACTTTTGGACAGAAGACTCCCAAACATGAGAAAAAATCTCTATCTTTATTTTCTTGTGCATTTGTAGATATTAATTTATATAATTATCTGCATATACATATTAACATAGGAATTCATAAAACTACTTTTATATTAATTTAAGTGAATTTCAGTGATATCGAATTTCAATTGGAAGACATATATACCTGTATCATGTTCTCCTTGAGTCTCGCCTTTTTGTGCTTCGGTGCTAGTTTCCTTATCATGCTCGTTCTCGGTGATGTCCTCTATTATCGATTCCTGGGGAAGAGGCAGGTGTTCCGGAAGCAGCGCGGGTCTCACGAGACTATCGGGTCGACATACGTCACCTTCGCGGCGCATCGGCGCGGTACATTGGCAGCGACCGAATAAATCCGGAATGAGAAAATCACAATGCGACTCGGGGTCCCAGAGACGACAGTGAGCGTGCTCGTAACATATCTCGCCGAGTTTTGCCGCTGCAAATTGAATTAGTCTCTCGATTCACGAAACATTTACACACATCGCGAGTCAATTTCACATCTGTTTATCAAACTTCCCCCGAAGCAATAAAACTTTTTACCTCTTGATAGATGGGATATAATCAAGCCACATTCGTAATTCTCAAGTTATAACAAATTGTAGTTTCGATTAACAAGTATATAAGAGATATTAATCAGAAATAGTTTGCATTTTTTTCTTAATTATTATAATTTTTTCATAATTTCCATCATTTCTTTTGTAATTCTCGTAATCTTTGAAATGTTTTCAACCCTAGTAATTTTTGTTCTTCTGTTTTATAATTATTTTGTAATTTTTTCTTATTACAAAAAAAACAAGAACAACTAGATAAAATAATGTAAATCATTATTTGAATTATAAACGTTGTAATTTACGCGTAAAATTTCTCTTCCCTCTCCCACATATTTTCGCATATATAATAATAAAGATTGTTAGTGTAAGAAGTCACAGATATCGGAACGGCACAATAACAGTTGCCGATGATCGAAAATGATTCTCGATAAATTAAATGACAGCAGAAGAATATATTTTTTTCAGGATATCATTTCCATGACAAACTATCATAACATATGCGCGTTCGATGAGCCGAGAAGAATAAGACTGTATAAATGAGAATTTTCTTCGTGTGATATTATAACTACGCTTCGTCTGGTTATTCATCATCGATCCTTTCACCGATGTGCGTTGCTCCACGTCGCTAATGATCCCCTTAATGTCATGCCAAGATAGCTTCCAGCGGTAACCTCGAGGAACTCAAGCGACTAGCTTATGGGTACCCATCGTATCCGCATTGCGGTGTATTAATATAGTGTATTTAGTACAATATGATGTCATTGCTTCGCTATCAATCGTCATGATTAAGTCGATTTTTATTTGCAATTTTAATTTACGATTTTAAGTTTGTTATCTACAGAAATAAATCGGTCATAATTTGATTAAAATTTCTCCATATCACGAATAAAATAATAACATTTTTTACGCATTTAATTTAATCAATATATTTTTATAAATAAAATAAGGTAAAAAAATGTGACGCATAAAAAAAAGCGCGCATACGCGTTTTAATTGATTTCATTTTATATAATTTTGTGATACGTAATCAAACTTTTTACTTTTATAATCGTATAATCTTATTTTAGAATAATAAATTATAAGTATGTTATAAGTTTTACAAGGTGTTAATTATTGTAAAATACACTTACGTCCCAGACAAGTGTGACTGTGAAACTGCAAGTGTCCCTCTTCACATCTGCATACGCCCTCGAGGCAGTCACTGTTCGCCACTTTCAGAGAACATTGTTCCTTCACGAGGCAATCATAACCCAATAGAGTTGCTGTAAAATTAAAAGAGAGATTTAAACAAGTCTTTAATCTTTTATCTATAGCATAATGATGATTTTTCTTTTTTATTAAAAACAATAACAAAATTAATAAAAGATCTGTTTTCAAAGATAATTTTTTTTAGCTAGATTTTAGCTTCACATTATATACATTTCAAATAACTGTTCAAGTCATGTATGAATTCATCACACAATCCCAGTTTTTAATTTTTTATTTTTACTTTGATATTTCCTGCAAGAACAGACATAAAAGCGAACGTCTTAAGAGCATCTATTTCAGTAAGAATGAGCTATATGGTTGAAGAAGATAAGAGGATACTTTAGCGGGACTTACATTCGAGACATTGAGTGCCATTGTAGCCGGCCAAGAAGGGCTGACACTGGCAATAACCTAAGTGGCATTCGCTATTAGGGATGCCAGCTTCGCAGTCCCGATTTCGGTTGCATTCATCGCCAAGTCGCACACTTGTCGAAGTGGGCGAGGATGAGGTCAGTCTCTACAAGAAAATCGAGAATGAATTGTGCCTTCGGATGACCTAGTTTCACAAGTTCTTTAGACAGTAGCGTAACTAGAATTCTTAAAGACGACGGACAGACGTAAATAAGTAATTTATTTATCTAAATATAGAAAATCGCTATTGATTAAAAAAAACTAATAATAATAAATAATAAATTGTTGAGCATTTTCTATTTAGTTTAGTGAGTATTACAGGTTTGCAAATTTTTTAATACTATACAATTTAAAACACTATAAAAATTAAATAAATTAAAAATATACATATATAATAATACATGTATATATATTTTAAGGGAGAAAAGATCTAATATAATAATAATTATATAATACAAAAAAATAATTTGATAATAAATTCATTTTTTTTAATTCTAAGATCCTAATTAAAAATTTCTTTTCTTAATTCTTGAATTTCATAGCCTTAATTTCTTTTTTACGAAAAAAGAGAATAAATTTGAATTTTAATTTCAACAGTTTATTCCTTATACTTAGCTTGATTACTGTTATAGCTACGATTCTAAGCTATATTACATGTTTTTCTTCAGGAATGCTTAATAAATACTCAAGAGGATATGTATTTATACTACTTTTTCAAATGTCACAAATACGTCAAGCTGCCATAGAATGTTCAAATCAATTATTTAGCACAGCATTAAGTTGATGAATGATACGTTTCGAATCTATCTAACAATGTCATCATATAATAACTTCAGAAATTATCAGATAGTACAATGATCGATTGCGATTAATAGTACGACGATTTCAATATTTTTCTCGTCATTAGAATACATTTTCAAAGCATAACGATGTATTATATTTCATAGGAAGATTTATATACTTTTTTTACAAATTTTTATTTGCAATATTGTCCAATTCAAATTATATATGCTTCATAGATTTCTCAAATGCATATTTTCGCGAATTGAAAAGATAATATTTTTATAAAAACCAAAATTTTCTCTTCAATAAACTTTACACACCTTGATGCATCTCATGATATATTGAGATTAATAAACTTAATTTTTTATACGATATATCATTATTCTCTCTTTTAATCGATCGATTAATCTCACATGCATAATTTGAATATTTAATTATCAAGTTAATGAACTTGTGCTTTTTCATTTTCTCGATTATTCGTAATTTATAAAACGAGTGAAGTTTAATCTGAGAGCAATTAAATTCAATTTGCATATGTTCGATCGAAGATTAGTTTTGAATTTGATTAATACATAATATATTAATGATATAATAATTATATCTCGTAAAATATATCGATGCTATTTTGGCTTTAAAATACAAAATTCTTTGTCCTTTTCTTTTGATTAATCAATCAAACGCTTAGGCCGGTATTTATAGTCCGGTCTTACATTTAAGATCATCTTAAGAACTCATTCAACCAGTCAAATAGCTACAATGCAGCTATTGATTGGTGGAATGAGAGCTTAAGATGATCTTAAATGTAAGACCGGACTATGAATACCAGCTTAAGTATTTCATTGAATAATTTAATAATCCAAGTACCCCTAGTAAACAGAACTCATAAAATCAAATTGTTGATCATTCTCAGAATCAGTCATCATTAATCGATCAGATTTGTTTCACTTGAGAACGCTAATAAATTAGTTATTCGATTTTGATGGTATCAAAATCGAAACACCTCGTGTGCATCGCGGTTTTTTTCACTAGGTGGGCGCGCTTTACTAGCGAGTTCTCGTGATCTTCCAGAAGCTGCTTCCGTGCATTGCTATTCTTTCACGCTGAACGTATATTGCTGGGTGGATGCCCAACAAGTATGCACATAGTTTCATTGCTTTTCTCTTCTGCCCATCTCTTTCTCTCTCTCTCTTCTTCTCTGCCTAGTCGTTTCCCGGTTTCTCACGATTTGCAAACAATGCCTGTGCATTTTTGCGTATATGCACGAGTCCGGTGCGCTGAGGCAACATGATTATTTCGTTAATGTCTTATAAAAATTAATGCATCTTTTCAACATATATATATAAAATATTGTTAGATCCTTCTCTCTCGACGATTAAAATTTTATCATCTATTTATTACGAAATTTAATCTGGACATTTGAATTTAACCCGGATATTTCTAAGAAAAAATTAATTTTGAAATTAGATCGGAAATTTACATAAAGTAAATCATCAAGAATTTTTGAAATAACAAATTCATCTATTTTTATATTAAGAATATGAATTTAATTTATACATAACTTTCTGGATCTTACCTTATCGTTGAAAAAGTTTCCATTAAGATAAGATCCTGCCCCTCTCACATTTTCATAAAATTTACATATAATCTCTTTCATCTAATGATACATAATTAAAAGATCGTGCTCTCTTTTCCTGCTCTCTTCCACGACGTTTATTTTTGCGGGAACGCGGAAATACACGGACGCTGCGAGAAACGTAGCGCATCGCTTAAATCGCCCAGTCGACCCTAGTCGTACCCACGACACTAGAAACGTGTGGAAGTGGAAGTGGAAATGGAAATCGCTCTCGCGGCAGATTCGCGGCTGCACGCTTTAAGCACCGCAAGGTGACACGACATCCGTTGCGCGCGTATGCACCGTTAGCGCACTGTGCATCTCGGCTCGCTCAATTTTATTTCGAGGAGAATCGTCTGCGAATCTCGCACCAACGGTAGAGACTTGAACAAATAACGCGCGCGATGTCGCGCACGAGAACGTTGAAGCGCGAAATCGCCCCCTTTATGAGGAGACAACTGATTTATCGCTGATGTATCGAGATATTCGAGACTTTATCGTCCAGAAGATACGCATCCTGTTCTAAAAGAAGAGAAAAAATCGCGCCAAGAGCTCTTTAACTCCTCGCATTTTTCTAAACTATTGTGTTCCACCGATCTCGCTCGAATCTTTGGTCTTTCCTTCCGTTTTACTGCTCTTCTTACAAGTGGAAACGTAAAGTACGAGAGAAAACATATCTCCTGGGCTTTCCCAGGAGTAGAGATGCTATTCCTTTGAAAAAGATAGAGAAAATTGTACATAAATTATCTGAATAAAATATGAAGCGAAAAATTGCGTGAATGCGTTTTTTTTTATCTATTTACATTTTCAATGAAATGTACATATATGTGTATAGTATGTATATTTATACATTTTAAAGCTTATTACTCTATTATGTTGATCACATTAATTATATTGATCAATTTTAATTTTATTATATATTAATAAAAATATTAAGAATTTCTTTAATAAATCCTTTAAGAGAAACGTCTTTATTTATAAAGACGTGCAAATCTGTTTACATGTAATAAATACCAAATTCTCTATTTTTCTTTAAGAAACGATTATAAGCACGATTTTAAGAAATGACGATAAATTTTTTGCTATCATTAAGATTTTCAGATATGCGGTCTTGGGTATTTAATTTTCACGTAAATATCATATAATAAATTCCCAAAAATATCACGATTCAATTTATTACGATTTCGCAAGTAAAACTTTTACGTCTTCTTGCCCTACATGTGACAGAATTTATTATTTTCTAATCAAACTATAAAGCGGTCGATCGAACGCGTCTGCGCATAACCGGGATATACGTTTCTGAGATGCGTCTCGTGTGCAGCCGAGAAGCAAAATTACCGTGTATACTCTGAATCACGTCTTACATTTGGCGACGATAATCCGTAAACGTTCGAGCGGAACCGCAGATTCTCGCGTCGAACAGACGTTCGTACATTGATGAATAATAGATGAGTTTTCTTGAATGGACACGTCATTTCACGGTATCGACGATGCTTAAAGTGCCTTTAGGAAAAATCGAAGCGAAGACATGTTTGCGTCACGCTTGATTTTCCCAGGGTGCGTGCGTGTCATTATTCATTAATCTCCGAGAAATGTTGTCTGTTATCTATATTAATTCCTTTAAAAAAATGCAAAATACACATATACATTTCATTCTTTTCTGGCAAAATCTTCATTACACAGTTTGCGTAGTCACGCATATGCGGAATATATTGCAGAAAGAAAATTAATCCGCCACTCTCGAGAGGGAGAGGCGAGCTTAATCGGGTGTTGCACGCAACGTGGAAACGCAGCGCACGAGACCAGCGCGCGCAAAACTGCGCTGCAATTTCACAGAGGGACGGCAGGATGGAATTTTATATTCATCACCTCCCGCCGGCTCTTAATTATGTCTAACGAGCCGAGCCAATTTAAACGTTGGATAGAACAACCGCGCTCGATCGTGCTACGAGAAGAAGCGCGTCGAGGACGTCGGCTTTTCCTGCAAAATTCCGCTCGCGCTTTTATCGGCTTCGAAGGATGACGGGACGTGAGCATATACGTTTGGGCAAAATGTATATATGTCCCAGAAATAATCTAAGCAGCCAAGATAGATAAAAATTACGTAAAACGAGCATTTAACATTAATCGCACTTTTAATTACGGTGGAAAGTAAAATTGCAATTATCTTTCATTTTGTACAGATAGATAAAAATATATTTGTTTTATTTATTTTGTTTTTCAAATAAAAAGTTTAATTCTCTTTCAAGTTTAAAATTGAAGAAGAAATTATTTAATTTTTATTTTTAGGAAAAAGGCGGTTTTTAAAAGGCGGTTCCTTAAGAGCAAAGATAAGTTTAAGCGATTTTTATGAAACGTAGTATTACAGATGCCGTAATGATTTTGCAATTTTCTCATGAGTCTCCCTGCAACGATAGTTAAATCGTAGTTCAGTTATAATTGCAGATATAATTGCATAGATGCTCCAATAGGAAATGGGAACTGAGTCTGTATGCTTCCTTCCGAACGTGATTCCCTTCAACAGAGAGTGAGCGTGAGAAGAGTAAACTGTTTAATCGCCACATGCAGCTTGCATATAGATATAATATATGATATTTATTAAATATTCCATTAGATATTCAATAAGATTATAATAACAAATGATATTCTACATGGAAAAATATTTGTGTTTAAAAGATGCTATGTAATGCATTTATATTGTGTTTTTATAT